GCACACCACCTCAGGGAGCGTGGCGGGGAAGGGGCCAGGGCTGCATTGCCACGACGGTTCGGGCCCCTCGCAGCTCCTCCACCATCCAGCCCTGGCACGCCAAGTTCAGCTTACCGGTGTTTTTGGCGCCTGGCCCAAAACATTGCCGATCCCTGCTGTAAAACCTTCCTTTAAGCAACGAACTTGTTTTTCTTCAACATGATGATTTCAAAACCTCTTCCTTCAGAATGGAACAAATTACAGGTAATATGTTCTTGTTTATTTTATTTTCAAGTCATTCCCTTTTGTAAGAAACCTTGGGCTATAATTTTAACTCTTCTTTGAGATAAATTTAGATCTCACCACAGGATAAGGTGTAATCTGCTGTAGTCTAAACATGAGTCTGGCAGGTACCTTCACCTTACTGCTCCCAGTTTACGAGAGACCTGCCTTGGATTGTATAAATTCCAGGTGAATTATCTGTTCCAATTCAAGTAAATGATGATTTGTGTCTCCCCCAGAAAATGTATAAATTATTTCGGAGATGCGTTTATTAAATAAATTATGAGTTTTATACTATATACATTAGAGGTACTTTGTTAAAATCGTTCCGGTACAAAGACAGAAGTTATTATGGGTAATTGTATTGTAGGCATCATATTTCTAATTCTGTTGTACTGTAGTTTTATAGTCACTGTTGAACAATTTTTTTCCCCGTTGGATCTAATGTGAATTTTTGTGTCTTTCTCCACGGTTTATTTTGGAAGGAAAAGTAGTTAATTTGATTTTCTGTAGGTTCTGTGTTGAGTAACAATATATCATTTGGAGTAATACGAAAAATGCAAGAAACGTAAGTGCTGAAAAATAATCCTAGATGCAGTTTTATGCACACAGAAGTTGTAATCATAACAGCTCTTTTTCAGTCATTGAAATAAGTTCACACTGTTTAAATAACTAAAATGGCAGTTAGATGGAGCAGTATTCACAGATTCACACAAGTTTAGGGCTGGAAGAGACCTCGTGTGATCACTGGGCCCAGCCCCTGCTCTGGGGAGGAAAGGCTGCGGGGCCAAATAAGTGCCGCACGCTGCGCGGCCAGTCTCCTCCAGGGCGGGTGCCTGCACCACCCCGCCGGGAGTCTGGTGTCACGAACTGTGAAGAAGTTTTTCCTTAGTCTTTTCCTTATTGGAAAGACTTGGGACAGTACGAATTTAATACAACCTTAATACTGTACTGTGAAAATGACTCACTAATACAGAATTGTAATAATGTTACTATAAATGCATTTATTTTTCTTGCTTTTCCTGCAATGTATTACCAAAGAGGTATGTTGGGTCTCTAAAGCTTATTACTTAATAAAAGTGTTCATAGATTGGTATCAAATATTTGATATAGTTTGACGTTTTATCAGAAGTATTTCCCCAAGGATTATATTCAAAATAATTATCCTGTGAAAGACATTAGCACTCATTTAAAATCTGTAGGGTACCTCCAAGACAAATCTTGGAAAAAGTCTAAAGGATTTGTCAGCAACACCTGTGTTTATTGTAAAAGGCATTTGCATTTTGGATCACTTTTGCTCATGGAAATACATCTTTCTTTTTTTGCTGCTATGGTGATTAAAAAGTAATGTATTCTTAAACAAAAAAGAAAATCTAACTTCCCTTTCAAGTGCTCTCGGAAACTACCAATTCTCATCTGTGCTTACTATTACCTTGTTCCTCTGGGCTTTTTTTAAATCAGTAGTCACAGAAACTAGGGAAGTTTGCCATAATGATCCCACTGGCTTGTATGTGATAGCATAGATATTCATATCACCCTTTTAATAGCATCAGCACGTGGCTCAGCGCTGAGGAGCTTCAGAAATTCTTCCTGTGTCAGTCCAAGACTGGTGTTAATTAGGGCTGTGACTGGAGACGGCCATAGTAGTTACAGGCCTGTCTTGCTGAAACCAGCCACGGCACAAAACGAACCATGCTGGGGAATGGGCTTTAAAACAGTAGCCCTTTGCCCGTATGGGCAAACCTTCACTTCCCTTCAGAGACCTGTCAGTGCTTCTTTCGCACATGGGACAGTCTAGTTTGTGAAGCTGTTGTATAACATGGGCAGGTGCAAAGCAGTAAAAGCCGGAGGTTGCTGTGTGGTTGAGTTCAGGAAGTGACTGTACGTTTGTGCTGCGCTGACTCCCATCTCGGATCTCAGGGTAGGATATTATTTTGTTTGCTAAAACCCCCCAGAGCTGAAAGGGCTGGCGACTCTTTGCGTATCAAGTGCTGCCGTTAGGGCTGGAGGGACTGCCACCCAAGCGGTGGTCTTGTCTACCCCTTGGACAGCCCCATTCGCTCTGTGCACTTGCGCAAGCAGGGGTTGCTATTGAGGGCGTGATCAGGGTCCGTGGTTTATAAAAGTGAAATCGAGGGCTTTGCTTTGGTGAGGCTGCTGTAGGCCTGGAGACGTTGTGCAAACGCAAGAGCACTTTGCTCAGCCCTTTTACACCCTGTTGAGACAGCGACGTAGTTTCTTGCAGGGTCTGAGGTAGCCCAGTTGACTCATGGTCTCACGTCATCACGTTGTCTCGTCTCCCAGCCACTCTCGAGAGGGTGGCAGAGATGTCAGTCTGTTGAGGGACACGCACTTGCTCTTTCTGGCAGAAGTGCTTCAAGCTTGTTAGGGCTGGACATAGCTTACTTTCCCGCTTCTCTCTTACCTTTTCTCTGCAGTCCTTCAGGAACCAGAGAGACCCCGAGCGCCGTCCCAGGGAAGGAAAGCGGTGAGTCAAGCAGGAAACCTCTCACAAGGTCACCGGGGATTTGATCATCCCACCCAACTCTTAGCAGTTTTTGTTTGTTTGTTAATTTGGATTTGTCCCCTTCCTTTCTTAAATTGGAAGGAAAATATTTTGCAGCTATTGTGAAGAAATGGTAGTGATTGTAGTTAAAACTGCCTATGGCTTTGTTTAATGGTTGATTTTTTTTCAAAGTACATTTAGATCCTTGGATATACTTCAATTGTCCTGAAAACTGTGGTGCTTCCTGGTAGCCCAGGGCAGAGGGAATGCTGTCACTTTGCAGTAGCATTGCTGGTGTGGGGGGCTGTGAGGACGATGGCCCCGAATGCTGGTTGGGGTTGGGGTTGGGGGAGGGGATTGGATTGGAAATTACAGTTCCTGCCTATTGTAACTGGAACGCAGCCTTGACTGACAGCATGGGCGAGATGCTGGTCGCCATCTGGCACCAGCGCCGGCTTGCACTACGCTCCTAGCGTTGGAAGAGAAATCCACAGGCCCCCAGCAGGAGCAGCTGGCTCCAGGAAACATGGGGGAGACTAGGAAAGGAGTGACACCGAGCCAGGCAGCAGTCTGTCCTATGGCGGGAGGAAGCACTATGCCCCGTCAGGGCAGCTCCTTGCCAGTGCTGCAAACCTACTTCTGCACTTAAAAGTGTGGGTCCCTAGTAGAAAGAAGATGTCAGTGCTTCGGCACAGACGCATCTGGGTGAAGCCAAGAGCAGCGGTCTGTGGTGCTCTCAGATGTGAATTCTTCTCCTCCTCTTTCCTGTTCGCTTTTATCCAAGCCTTCCAGGTACTTGCCAGGAAACTTCATTCAGCTGCCACCAGCTTGGTCTCACTACAGGTGGGCCAGGGATTTGGGGGCTGAAACCTGGTGTTGGTCTCCAGCAGGGGCCAGAGTCCTCCCTGACCATATCAGTTAGACTTCCGGGTGTCAGCTCCTCCGGGGACAGAATTGCACAAGCATGAGTCAGAAGCAAGGGCTATCTCTGCTTTCCAGCTATAGTGACAAGATGGGTTGTCGAGAGGTCAGGGATGGCAGAGAGCAGCTCTGTATTCGGCCACCCAGTGCTTGGTGAGTGCAGCGCAGCGCTTTGCTTGCTTGCTGTAGCACCGGTCAGTCCACATCAGCATGTGGACCTCCTGCCCTGGGCACTGACAGAGATTACAGCCAAAGAGGTGAGGTGCAGCACAGAAAACAATGGGTGGGGAGGATGCAGTGTAGCGGTGACAAGACGCTGTGTTTGTGCTGTAGG